AATGTGTATCCTCAAACTAATACGTTGTCAGTGCAATACACGAAAAAACAATATGAAGTGATATTATAACTAATTATAAAATAACGTGGATTAAGATTTACTGTACATTATTAAGAGTTATAATACAATATCATTTTAATATCATTTTGTTCATTTTATGTAGGAATCATTCAACATATTTTCACACTAAGCTTTGATTTTTGGACTATATTGTATTTATCGCAACAAAATATACATGAGTAATCCTAAATCTAAAAATACCTATACTTATCTAGCGAAATCAATTTTTCTACATATATTCTCATAATTTTACTTTTCCAGATAACTTTCAAACCCCAAATATAATGAAATTTACTAGTCCTTGCATGATGTAACATCGAAAGCAATTAGGATTGTTTTCAAGCACGTAAAAAATAAATATAACGAAACATGAAAATATTAACTAATAGAGAATATTGAAAATGGATTCAACAAGTTAATGAACCCTGAAGAATGATATACGACACATTATTCATTATTGAATATTGACTTGATAACAACGAGAATCGAAAGATAAAATAAATATAGCTAGCATGAGCTGCCATACATTAGAATCATTTTCCATTTCCTCGGAAAAATAAAATTTAACTATTCTCAAATTTTATTACAGTTCAACATATTCCATTCAAACCCATCAAACTCCTCATCCAGAAATTGTATAAATATGATAATTGCATCTAAAAAAGTTCAAATAAAGGTCTCACACTGCAATTCCACCTATAATTCAATTCAGTAACTGCTAATATTACATCTAATAGTGACGAAAGTCCAAAACTTGCTTGCCAATCTGGTCGTAATCGCTCCCTGTGTGTAAAGGGTTTACCTCACTCAGATGCTCATAAGCCAAATCGTGAAGCCGAATGAATGGAGCTTTACTCATGCAAACCCCTACACTTTATCTGCCAGTAAAAGAAACATGAAAAAGATTTTTGTATTGAATCGAGTTTTGCTTTGTCAGGTCCCATTTGCATTGAATTCTTGGAATGCAGCTTTTGCAGCTTCGTAAGTTGACCAGCAAATGGCGGCTGCAGGAGCATGAAAGAGCATCCTAGGCATCCATCCTCTTAGAAGACCTCTGTACCCATCTTTCTTTATTATTGTTCGTATAACATCACGAATTGACCCACTCACGAATCTATCACATCCACAGACACCCTGCGAAAATCCAATCGATGGATAAGGAAATATGAAGTTCANCAGAAAATTACATCATGCAACAATTTGGGTCATTTCGAAAGTAATTTCAGTGTAATACACTTTGAATCATGTCAGAAATCTACCTGTTATTCCTATTGCAATAATAATGTTTAACCAATTCAGCAAATGGCAGAATATAAAAATGTAATCGCAGAGAAACGAGAAATGGAAGGTGCTCTAAAGTTCCAGGCAGAACAAAGAAGAAATGTGGAAGAAGAAAAAGTTCACTGATAAGATCCTCATGTTGTTTGGCACCCTAAGTTTCAAAAGGCTGTTCATTTATAGTTATTTGTTAGTATTCCTAGAAAGGGTTTCCTAACAGATATCAGAATAGCAAGCCAACAAAGAAGCACATACCAATTCAAACCCCGGACTCAAACCAGCGAGGAAAGTTTAGCAGAACCGATAAACAATATAGTTCCCAGAGGCTTCTTTAAAAAAGTGGCGTGAGCAGATATGTTTATGTTGGGCATACACATGTACTTCCGAAATAAAATAAATAAATAAAAAAACAATTTCTTTTTCTTAATTTGGTTAAGCAATTACATAGTAAGTTGCCTTATTCCTGAAATTAAAAGGTAATTAGTAATGATATTAATCACATAGACATGCACAACAGATGAGCACTTGTGCACATCACACACTCGCACATAAGCAAAAAAGTTCCTATTCCACAAAAAGATGGGAGAACTCAAACAAGCAGAGCCACCCCATCCCTGGCCCCTTGGCCCACTTTTCTTTGCAATCCAAGCGGTCAAATACAAATACCAATTTCCAGTTTTATTTCTTTTGGACTATTTGACACTGGTGGACAGAAAAATCCAGCTTTATATGTAAAACAATCAATAGCCGCTTCCTCAACCTATCAAACCAGTCAGTGTGGTCCGATTTAAAAATATGGTCATATATCTCAGCCAGGGCAAGAGATAATTACGGCTAGAAACATCCAAATTGAGGCTCAATTATGCTGTCACACTAATAGTATTAACTCATCCAATTTGAATATGAAATATCGCCAGTCAGTTATATGGCACATGACCTGGCTACTTGATCATGTAAGATAGCCTGTTCATATTTCACTTGTCCTGAAGTTGCAATAGAAAACTAATTTTTTCTGACTCTTATAGTATGTTTGGTTGACTCATGGTTTCAATCTCCCACAAATAGAAAACTGCAGTTTTAGAACTCAGCAACATTGTCAGATGGAACAAGAAAGAATACGATCAAGTACCTTGTTATCTCTGTCATCCATCTGCCCATCAACAGATGACAAGTAAATGTTTATAGTTTACTCAAGTTGCTCTATTTCTTCATTACACACTCTAAGAGATACGCATAACTAATTGCAAATTCAGTAAACACCAGGTCTTTTATCGACTAAATTGAGGAACTACCAAAGGTAAGCTAACAGATATTCTGTTAAAATCCTTTTCTCCTAATAGATTTCCACTGAACAAGCATCTCAAACACTGAAACAAGAAGAAAAGGCTGCATTCCTATTCATTAACCTACATAATTCCAACATGAATTAGCATCATTCATTTTTCCGCCCAGTCGATGGTTTACGCAGAAATACCAGCTGAATTGAACTAAGATTTGGTGGACAAGTCACAACGTTCATAGAGCTATAGCATTCTCATGCAAACTCCATATGAAGGTATCAGAACAAGACTAAAACTTCATACAACAATTAACTCATACATAGGTCGAGTTAAAGCTCAAAACTACCTGGCACTGCAACTGAGTCTTCACCACATCCAGAGGCGTGGTCAGGGCCGCCGCTAATGCCCCTGCCACTGCCCCTGCGGTGGCGTGAACCACCAACCTCTCATCGCTAGCACTTTCCGGCGAGACCTCCATCAACCCTCTCTTAGCAGCCTCGTAAGTCGCGAAATGCACGGCTGTGAAAGGCGCATTCATAAGCACAGTCGTTCTATAAGACGCAAAGAAAGCCCGAATACCCTCCTCCCGGGCCACCCTGCGCACACAGTCCCAAACCCCGCCATAAGGGCTGCTGCTCAGCTGCAGCCTCTGCTTCACCATATCCATGGGCGTCAAAACAGCATCGCTGGCAATTGTAGCGAACACCCCGGACAAGGCGTGGGCGGCCGGATTGTTGGGGCTCCCGCCTGATAAAGTCTTCTTGGAGAATTCGTACACGGAGAAGTAAACAGCATGGGCGGGGCCAGCACCGAGCCCCATCGCACCTATCCCGCGGTAGAAGCCTCTGAAGCCGTCGCGCTTGAGAATGGACTGGAGCGCGTGGCTGACGCTCGCGGATTTAATGGGGCAGGAACCCAGGGCCTGCATCTGGGTCTTGACGGTGTCGACGGGGAACATCGCCATGTGCTCCACCATGCCGGCGATCGAGCCGCCGATCATGAACTGCCAGAAGTGGAGCCCGTCGTGGGCCGACGCCGCCGCGGCGGAGGTCTCCGGGTGGTGTTCCGTGTGGTGCTGCGGGACCGGGATCAGCTCCGGATTCTGGAATTTCGCGGGGGCGTCGGTGGCCATTGGAGGTGGAAAGGGGTAAAGGGTTGGGATGAGGATTTGAGAGAAATTGGGGCTGCCGCCATACAAGGGCTTAGCAATGAGGATGGAGAGTGGTGAGCTGCATTATGTAATGGCGGTGGCTTGGGCGAAAGGTCAAACGAGGGAAAGGTGCTGGTGGTGGATTACTACGGCGGCACGGCGGTGTCCGAACTTGGAAAGTTCCAATTAGGTTATCAAATTTGGGTATTTCTTTTTTCAAATTGTAGTGCATATCTATACGCAAAGAAAATTGATTTCTCTAGATTTTACATATTCAAGTACCCGGAAGAAAAATATGAAAATTTCAATTTAATATGGTTTAATGATTTTCATATATTTAAATTTTACATTAAATATAAAATTTCTTAAAAATTGCTATTTTGTGGCTTTTATAAAAAAATTTTATCATGATTTTTCGGGCCCATTTCTAACAGATCCACTGAATTAGGCGGGCCATGGGCCGTGGGTTAGGATAAAAAACGTGTAGTGTATATTTAAAAAAGGGGAAGGTCCACTTTTGATCCTTCATGTTTAGGGATATCCAGACTGAGTCTCTATTATATTTTGGTGTCCAATTTTAGTCCTTAAAACAAAAAAATATAGTCCATATAATTGGGAAAAATCCACTTTTAGTTCTCCATGTTTAGGGGTATCCAGACTTAATCCCTATTATGTTTTGATGCCCAATTTTAGTCCTTAAAAAAAATGTAGTCCCTTTACCTCAATTTATGTGACTTAACGGTCCATTTTTGCTCGACCGTTATGTTCTTTATTTTTTTTAAAATTCGTTGACTAATGTCAACTTTGACCAAAGAAAAATAAAAGAAAATTTAAATGCTGAAAAAGTAAAATAAAAGACAGAAATAGTGAACTGCAGTGAAACGTAAAAAAAAAACTCTAGGGACTAAATCCAAATCAAATGGATGGAAATGGTGTGGTATTTTGTAGATGTGAGTTGGTTACAAAGTTGACTACATGCTGGAAGGATGATAATCTCGGGAGAAGATTCTTGAGTTGCCCTCTATATCCTGTAAGTACTTTCCGTGAACTTCAATTGGAATATGATAAGAAATGGTTAAAAAACAGAGAGTTGATAGGTGTAATTTTTTTCGATGGCATGACCCGGAAATGGGTGCAAGAGCATTAGCTGTGATTCCAGGCTTGCTCCGCAGCGCGAATGCTAGGGACATAGAAATCAGACGAGCAAAAATTTTAATTTAATTTAGTGCAATTTCTTGTTTTAGTTTAATTTTTTATTAATATATTTTCAGCATTTAAATTTTCTTTTATTTTTCTTTGGTCAAAGTTGACATTAATCAACAAATTTTAACAAAAATAAAGAACATCACAGTCGAGCAAAAATGGACCGCTAATTCATAGAAATTGAGGTAAAGGGACTATATTTTTTTATTTTATGGACTAAAATTGAGCACCAAAACATAATAGGGACTCATTTTTTTTGTTTTAAGGACTAAAATTGGGCACCAAAACATAATAGGGACTCATTTTTTTGTTTTAAGGACTAAAATTGGGCACCAAAACATAATAAGGACTCAGTCTGGATACCCCCTAAACATGGAGGACCAAAAGTGGACTTTACCCTTTAAAAAAAGTGTAGTATAGGTGAAAATGGATTAGATGAATCACGAGTTTTTAACATCCCCTATCCCCCTCCCCTATATATTAATTCAGAACGTGCTGAGCCTAAGTGGTAGGCTCGTATGCTTCATGATCTTATGTGTCGTATGCTTCAAGATCCTATGTAGGAAAATTACATGCTTCGTTATTAGGTTTTGGTAGATTTTAATTTACTTCCAAACAAAAAATAATTAGGTTCGGATTATCCATAAATATGTTGATTATATATGGTCATGTTACATGTATTAATTGCATTTTAATATTATTTCTTATTACTAGTACAGTACCCGTGCGGTGCACGAGACTTTATTATTTTCGTCATTTTTAAAAGGCAGTTTAGTATTTAAATTCAAATTATATAATAAAGCACTGATCATTGATTATAATTAAACCTAACAAATACTTATTATAAGATACGTGTAATTATTTATATTAATTATGTTGGACTTGTATAATAGGAATGTTTTTGAAAAATATAGACTTAAAAAAGTTCATATCGGCCCAATTTACAATGTTGGCTTCGAAAGTTCATACCGACCCAAACAAAATAGAAAAAATAAACCAATGACCAGATTAGTCAACACAAATCGACGGTTTAGATTACACTGAACATAGTATAAATAGTGAAATTATCGGACCAATAGCTTCATTTCTTCCTTCATTTTTCGTTGCTTCCAGCTTCTTCTTTCGTCTTTTTCATCGATCTTCTTCCAACGTTTCCGTTCTAACACTGAGGGTCTTATAAATACATATTCTTTTTAAGTTTTCATTTAATCGATGCTTTAAATTAGTCTTTAGTGTTTTGCACGAAACAAAATATAGATTGTTCAATTTGCAGGTTTTTATTTTCGATTTTTGTAGTTTTATGTTCGAATTTTTTGGTTTTTACAATTAATCAAAAGAATCCTTCGAATTTGAGTATGCGCCGGTAGATTTTGTTAATTTTAGTTGTTTTGCCCGAAAATAAATGTGAAATTTTTAGTTTTAAGGTTTCTTTGTTCTATTTTTGTACTTTTATGTTCGGATTTTTTGGGTGTTTACGATTAGTCAAAAGAACTCTTAGAATTTGAGTGAGTGTCGGTAGATTTGTTATTTTTTTATTGACAAAATTATTTTGTTACACAAAATTTTTTGGCGTCCAAATGATTCTTTTCTTTTAAAACTCAACTCGGCTGAAAACATACAAATCTGACAATTAATTATGTGATATCATTGATTTTGATGAATTGCACAAAATTATCATGGGTTATGAACTTGCAAGTTTTTTTTGCCCAAATTAATGAATGTTGATATCAATTAATTTTAAAAGGATTGGTATTGAAATAAAACTCAATTTTTTAAAAGCATTATTTGTACCAAAATTGAATAATTTAGTTACCAAAATTAACTATCCATGATTGAAGGCATATTTAAATATTTCTCATTTAATAAATAAAAAATAAAACAAAACTTGCCCGAAATGGTATGCAATTAATGTTGCCAGATTTTTTTGCTTACTATTTTTGGTAAATAGTAATTTTTATTATATATATATAGATATAGATAACCATTGAATTGTAACTATATTTTAAAAGTTAATAACTTTTGTATTTTTTATCAGTTTTACATAGATAATATATTAAATTAAACATCTCTTGATGAGCTTCGATTTAAGATCCATATTGTATGTATAAAAACATAAATTATATTTATCTTTATAACAATAATAAAATTGTCTTATAATATTCATTAGAAAAATAAAATTATTTATCAATTAATATATTTATATTTTAAGTAGTTATATGATATAAGTTATAAAAATTACTATAATTTAACACATGTAAGTCGTACAAGTAACAAGTGTCATTCTAAAATATATAATAATATATATTTTTTATAAAAAATAAATAAAACTTAAAATAATTTTTCTCATTAATTTTAAAATTTAAGAATAATTTTGCGTTCAATTCACACAGGAAAAAAAAAAAATTAATAGTACGTTATTCATCTAATTTACCTTTTAATTATTTTATATTTCTCTATCACATCACTCATTTAATAAATTATAATTATCCCACATCCATTATAATTCTTTTAAATACTAATTACTATATCTTCTTCCATATTATGTTCATTCAACTAAAAAATTCTTTATTTAAACACATTCACATTTGTTGCGACATTTAGATAAAAATATATATAAGTTTATTAGTCACTCATTTGATATTATTTTTATATTTTATTATAATGAAAGTATAAAAATGTATGTGGAAGTGGAACCTATTTTCAATTTATTTATCAATTTCACAACGCACAGTTCAAACTTTCAAATACAGCTAACTGGTACCACCATTTTTATCCTTTAAATTTAACAGTGTCAATGAGCATTTGAATGGCTAGTGAATGCACCAATGCATATGCTCTTAAACAGCTAAAATTTGCCTATTCCATGTTTCGAAGCCCTTGATCTTGATCTACAAGTCCAAGATTCTTGTTCACGATGTACTGGGTACAACAACGTTCTTCTTGCAAGTTGGATAATATCTATTGCCATCAAGCTAAATTTGACTCTAAATTTGATCTATTTTACCCCTCCAAAAGTCAAATTTAGTGAATTCATGCTCCCAAAGAAGAAACAAAAATTAAGAGACAATGGTGCACAAGAACACCATCCTTATGTAAAGTTGGGAGACAAAGTTGCACCAGAACACAAACCTTATGTTGTATTCACGCCTTTGCCAATACGCTTTAATTCCTTCTAAAAATTAAACTAAGAGGAATTTGCAATCCTTCTAAAAATTAAACCAAGAGGAATGTACTGCAAGCCTAGAATCTTAGCTAACTAAAATTCCAGGACCATGAGAGAAAAATGAACAAAGCAACCGGCGGAAGATGAAAGAAAATGAAAAAGTTGAAGGGTCAGTAGAACCTCTGTCGACTCTTGCCTTCATTAGGTAATCTCTCATGAACATCGGTAAGCATGGAATTTTCGCAAATTATGCTTCAAGATCCCAGTTCTAAACTGAGAGCTTCCTGTACTTTTAGCTTCAAGAGTGGGGGCTACTTGCAGTGTGCTCTTCTCATCTTCTTTCTGCTTTAGGTGCGCTTGTGCTTGTGCCTCGACTGCTCATCACATATATTACGTTAACCGAGGGATCAAAAAAATCAGACCAATTAAGTCAAAACTAATTTCATTGTTATCATTTTTCCAGAATGGCAAGGTAAATGCAACAAAACTGTGTTAAATTTATGAATTTATACTGGGGGTGTTCAAGAAATGGGTCGTAAAACTCATACCAGATTGTGAGGAAATTGCAAGCTGAGCAACATCCTTTAATCTCCTGATTTTCTTGACAACATGTCCATCATGAAGTATATCGTCCATTTTGGCATGAGACACATGGTTTGTTCCACAAGATATAATAGCCTTTTCACATGCCTTCAATAAAAATTAGGAAGTCCTAGCATTTATCACTTTTATCATGGCTATAGAACGTCTATGCAAATTATTAATGCAATACCATAGAGAAACAAAGCATAGGGTCACTGAAGATATTCAGAAATTGGAACAAATACTCGAGCATGTGGAGCCAGGAACATTAGTAACAGATGCAACCTCACACTGAAAAAGTAATTTTCAGGGCCATCTTCATTTTTCAAAACGCAAAGATTAGGAATTCAAATACTAGAAAAAATTAGTTAGTGTTGTGAATTTAAAATCATAGTTTGAACTGAGAAACATAAGATCTATAACATAATCCCAATGCTAGATTCAAACCATTAAGCTTTTAATGACCAAAATCACTATTTGCATTTTGATATTAGTGTGTGGATCTGAATCCAAAGTACGCAGATTGAGAGAATGTACATTAAACTATTTTACTAGAATGCTTTTCATGCCAAATTATCTTACTAATCATTGACAGAAACATTATCAACGATAGACAAACCACACTGTGTCACATCTAGCGTAGCTACCCCAACAGTCTTGTCAAGCATGCAATAAAGACTACCACTATAGCAACCTATGCCATCACCCAAATTAAATATTAAATCTAACATCACAGAGTTGTTTCTTTACATGATGTGCAATGGAATGGAATCCATTTTCAAGAGAGCTCTCGACAAAATTGAGCCATTCTTTGGAAGAAACCTGAAGCCCAGGGTGACTGGTAGCCTTTTCTTCTCGCATAACCAATGCCTCATATCTCAAGACCAAGCAACTCTGTCCAAAAAAAAAAACTCAACCAGAGAATCCGAAAGCAAGAAGTGAGGAAGAGGTCCAGTAATTCACCCAACACATATCTATTACCAATTATAATATCTTCCAGGCAGTGCTAAACACTAGTACAGAATGCAAGTACATAATTTATCACGTCAGATTAGGCTAAACCAGAAGAATGCCGAGCTCGAAAACAGAAATTAGCATGAAAAGTGATTACATAATTTCCAGCTGCAACCAGATTAACAGAGAATACTCAAATCAAAACATCTACTTCTGAAATCATGAAATCAACATATAACAAATGATAGAAACAATAAACAACAAACAGTACCTCGACGTCACCAATAATCGCAAACACGCGAACCAGAAAATCGACGCACAAAAGCTTAATCTCGACCGCCTCCATTGCAATTTCTCCAAGAACGAGAAGAGATTCATCTCTCATCGTCTGTTTCAAGGCCGACTCGACTCCATTCAGAGATCGCGCGTCATCCGAGGCCAGGATCGATTCCAAAATCCGCAGCGTCACATCGTCAAAACTGACAAAAAAAAAAAATGAAACAGATTCAAGCGAACTGTGCGATTAGGTTGCCGTCGATGATTCGCCTGACCGAAAAAAAAAAGTATTACTGAGAACTCTAACCTTCGATTCTGAATTCGCGTGCGAAAGAGGGAAATTTGCTGCGCCAGTGAAGCTGATGAGTTTGACATTTGAGAAAGCGCGGGCGGTTGAAAATTTTGCGCGGCTTCCTTTTAAACGTGGGTCGTAAACAAATCGGGCCTGTGCACCAGTTTTGAAACGAAACTGTAATTCTGGAATGGCCCATTCAGAATAGGCTAGAATGGGTTGGCCCGAAACCGTTCGAAGTTGAAGCCCTAAAGCTCGGGACAGTATTAATAGTAGGGAGAAAATGGACAAAACATTAAACACGATATACAAGCACGACATATCATGATTAGAATACAATATAAATAACACGTATGAGTACGACATGACAATGCACGACTTAAAGTTAAAACACCACAGAAAATATCTGAACTACAAAACTATTAATTAAATTCGAACTTGCTATCGTATTTATGATCAAATGAAATACAAGTATAGATTAACATTCTTTTATTATTTTTTTCCCTCTGTTTATTGATTTTATTTTTAGATAAGAAGGATATGATATGGTCCATATGGAGCATAGTGAATAGCTAGGATCAAATTTTCAAACTTCACACATCACAATTATTCAATTTTTTCTTCCTTTTTATAATCTTTTAGATTGAAACATTACTCAAATTATACAATATTCGCACGAACAAGAGATCGATTATCTAACAAGCAACAGAGTAAATTGGACCTAGGCAAAGATGACGAAGAATTTATGAAGTCGATGCAGTCGTTTATGGCTTGGCCCCGTTGAGAATCAACGGGCGCAACACTCGTCCTAGCTTTCTCCTTATCCGTATAGCTTTTATTATTAGGCCGATGCTTGGCGGTGGCGGGGCCCACGGCCATTATTCGCACGGCTGCTCGACACACGTGTTTAGCGTATCATATGGCCCCGAAATCGCAGCTTTTGGTGCACGTGCCGCATTTTTCGTGCCCGTTTTCGGTTTCTTATTGTTCCTTTTCTAGCTTGAGCTCTGCTTTGTAGGCCGATCTTATCGGACTTCGGTTCGAAAAGCACGAGGCTAATCTTGGCCTTCTTTGGTACTTGTTTAAGGTCTTTGTGTGAGTGTGGGAGATGAAAAGTTGCAGAGAGTGATGGAATTATGGTGGGTGTATATAGAAATTAATGTAGTGTGAAGGTTTATTTAAGCTTATAAATGAAAAATAATGGGGGAAAAAAATGGGGTTAGGAGTAGTAAAAGTAAATAAGTAGCAAGCACTCAAAACTTTGTGATGGGAGTTGAAGTCATACTTTTAATTTGAACACACATTAGGAAGAGTGTGGTGGTGAAAGTGAAACAATTTTAGTGTCACATTTATTAGCTTTTTGTTATTTTAATTCTTTTATTTTTAGGAGAGTTTTAAATACGCACTCGTAATTATATTGGACTGTTTTTATATGGCATTCTATTATTTTTTTTTTCAAATTATTTATTTAAAATTATTATTCTGTTTCATCCAAACTCCTTAAAATTTAAGTCATAACCAAACTCCTTAAAATTTTGTATACAATTGCTATAATAATAATTTAATATTGTTGTATCTAATTTATTAGTTGTAAATTGTAATTAGCCAAAATTGCAAAAAGTACACTATTGCAATCAATAAAGATTAATATTTAAATTAAATAATTTATATTTATATCGTTTTTTTACTAATAATGAAATTTATTAATAGTGATGTCTATTAAATACACAACTATAACATATAAATTTTTATTTGCATACGCACGGTGCACAGGATTAAATAATAGTTACATCTATAATTCTGTTGCGAGTTCCTCTCGCGTCTCCCCTACTCCGACATGCAAAATATTTTCAGATGAGGTTTTACATAGCCAACCCATCTTCTCCTTTACGCTAAAACCCTACCATTCGGGATCCATGGTTCCTTGTACCCCGTCACTTCGGCGAAGCTCGTCATGCTCAGGCCGTCTTTTCCCTGAAGAAGATTGACGACGACACAATTGAGGACAGAATTAAGAATTCGAACGCAGTGAAACGTGAGCGGACTTGAATTTCTGGAGTGATTTGTGAAACGTTAAGGTGGGGATTGTTCACATTGTCTCATATTATTGTGGGTAGGGCTTAATTCCAGCATATGTATGATCGTTGAGTTTGATAATTATGGGGTTGTTTGCAATTTTTGGTTTTATTGCAGCGGATTAATACGATATTGATCTATAATCTGTTGTTTCGTTAGTCTTTTGCATAGACCTGTGGTGTTTGCTATGGCGGATGGGCAACTAGTGAAGCGTGCCAAGTTGAAGTCTTCAGTCAACAGCCCGGGAGTTCCCGGAGTCTTTAGAATGGTAATTTAAATCGAGAAGATTTTGTTTTGATAATTTAGCTTGATAAATGTCTGCCGTAATGCTTTTTATATATTTTGTTTTGTTCTTAGAATTAAGTTGCTTTCTCGGTGATCAATGGATAGTGATGTTACTCTGTCTTTATAAGTGTCAAAATGCTGCTGTTATGAATTGAACTTATTCAATGTTTATGATTGTTACAGACAAAGGAAAGGTTTTCCTTTACTGGAAATGAGCCAGCCTCAGCTAAAACTCTTAATGTGGAGTTTAGGACAATTAAAGGTGCTCTTCCATGAAGATTTTCCATTCCTATGTCAATACCTAAAGACATTCTTGTTTACGATCGTGAGGGTAATTTCTTACCATTTTTTTCAGGGCATCAATTTAACAGGGTGGGTTCCAATAAACCAGCACTTCTTAAACTTAATCAAGACCAGGTTTGAATTGATTTACATAGTTTTGCTCTTCGCAATTTCTATCAAATGATCTTGTAGCGAAGAAGATCCAATATGATATTATATTATGGCTTCCTGGAATCTTTAACATTTGAGTTCATTTATCTTTCCAGGGTGGTGACATTATATTTGAGTTTGACAATATTTCTGATCGTGACGTTTGCAGAGAATTTGTGGGTGAGTGGCCACTAATTTTGTTATCCGTTATGTTCTTGTTGAACTAAATAGATTTAAGTGGTGAAATGTGGACACAACTGCAGCTATTGTGTTAAACAGAGTAAGAGAAAAAGTTACCTTTGTAAAGCCTACTCCTTCATCCCAGGACGAACAGCTTAGCACAGTGGAATTGGAGCACCGAATCAAGTTACTTCAGGAGGACAAGTAATATGAAAGGCTTTCCTCTTCCACTCCTTTTTGTTTTAATGATGATTTATGTCATAGTGTGTAGAAACAATCAATCAATCAATATATAGATCTATATGATATTATCATTCGAGATAGCAGTGACACAAGTTAGTTTATCGATGTCGACTTTGAACAGATCATTTTCCATTGTCAAACCTATAATGGAGTTCCTCCTTTGTGTTTTCTTTTGGAGTTAAGTATATATGCAGACACTACAGGGCTCGTTAGAAATAAGTGTTTTTAAGTTAGTTTTATTGTTGAACTCACAGCGAATTGCGAAAGCTTCACCAGAAATTCGTAAGTGGAGGTATACTAATGGAGGCTGAATTTTGGGCTACTAGGAAGGTTAGCTGCATGCTCTCATTTTCACGGTATTTTAATTGTTGACTATGGAGATAATTAGTTAGCTCAATGCTCATGCTTTTCAACTTGGTATCATTGCGAAGTGTTTTCAATAGGCCATCTATAACATATCTTGGTGCTCCCCTTTATAAATGACAGGAGGTCTTTGTTTGTAAGTATGTTGACAATAAAATGCATTCTACAATCGACGTTGGGCATGGAAGACCTTGTCTTTCAGTGGAGATACATGTTTCAAAGTCTCTTTGGTCTCGCTTCATTAACAAAACATGCAGGGGTATTCTTGTGGTGACTGCTTTATCCATGCATAGTAATATTTGGAATAGAATGTGTGAAAATCAGAAATGCTATGAGAAATCACACCTTGTTATATTCAGGAAATGATCGCATTAGTTTGAGATCTTGAATTTTGACTCCTTAAGTGGATAAAGAGTGCGATGTTTAGTTCGACTTTATGAGTCTAGAGGAATGAATAGAATGGAGTGAAGTTAGTTGTTCTAAAGATACCGATACATGAATATTCACAAGTAATTATATTTTTAAACAAAGTGCAGAAGCAGAGTGACAAAAGAAGGCTAAAGCAGAAAATGGCCTTGAAGAATGAAATGTGGACTGTCAAACCCTTATCGGATGGTCAGGTACGAGAAATAAACAGTGCAGTTTTTTTGTATTTTATGTTTGCATACAAGCTAATTGACATGTTTCTGTTTTTAATATGTAAGTCTAACAGAGTTACATTCAACTTGACACCAGAGATTATTCATCAGGTACATTTCCTTCGAACCTTAAGACCAAGATTAGTAGTTTTGCATGATTGTGCGCTTGGTTGCTTGGTTGAGCTGATTGAAGTGGATAAGTACAATCTATGTTTGATAAGCCTTAATCTATTAAATTATATTAGATTAGACAATGAAATAGAACATGATAAAAAATTATCATTAGATTAGACAATGAAATAGAACATGATAAAAAATTATCTTATTTGATAAAAATTTCTGTTATTTGCCCGTGTTGTTTCTCTAGAAAAAGTATAACGATACATGAATTCTCAAAAGAAAATACCTTTTACAGTGGATAAAGATAGTAAATAAGTAAAAAAAATTCCGACATGAGATCACTAAAAGGATTGGATGAAAGCTGATTAGCT